ATCTTAATTATATTTTAGATTTTTTATATTTAAAATGAGATGTTTATCCTGTATTTGATTGTGTTTATCTGCAGTTAGTTACACGAATTCAGTTATGGGATGAAATCGGATAGGGATGAAATCGTTTAGGAATGAATTCAGTTATGAGATGAAATCGGATAGGGATGAAATCGTTTAGGGATGAGCGGATTTAAGAGTTTAAGAGTTTAAGAGTTTTAGTCAAATGCATTATAATATAGTATATATATATATATATATATATATATATATATATAACTCGTTTTATGGGTCATGTGTATTTTTTTCAAAATCAATAAAGTCAAATAAGATATAAAAGAAGTAATAAATGTCATTTCATACAAAATTCAATGTAAAAACAAATGTTTCTACACCCAAAAAAGAATAAATTATATGAAACGAATTTTAACTTGATTTCTATGTTTGGTAACATACTTTCAAAACTTGTATTTTGATATTTTAACGTTACTTTTCCATACAATTTGTCGAAACAAAAACTCAATAGATGTAAATTCATTATTTGAGTGGGTCCCATCACGTGATCACATGTGTACACCTCAACAATCATCTCTTCGTTATGCTTATGCTCTTTGGCAGTTTGTCTCCAAGTGATGACCATCAGAAATTCCAAACCCCCCTAAGTGATGACCAACGGTGCAATATATATTGAAAATAACTGATTTAAGTCTAGCTGATATTAAACTTTAATATTACAGATATAAACTGAAATACTGTATTCTTTCATAACTAAATGATACTCAGGCTAAAGGCTAACTTGATAAGAATCAATCAGAACACGATTGCCAACAACACAACGGTATATTAATTGTAAAAAAGTTTTAGACTAATAATCAATAGTAATATTTAATACGGTCGAGCATGTTAATCAATGCTACAATTTTGAATGCATGCCACGGGTGGTGGATCCTGTATAAAATTTCCCAGTGGTTAGACGAGATGGTGAAAGCAATGCTAGCGATGCTGCCATTTCTGCAGCATCATCAGCCGAATGCTTGCCCTGGCCATCCGTCATGGCTGTCTGAGTGAACCCTGGACAAAAACAATTGACACTCACCAAACCTTCATACCGCCTCGCCAAAACCCGTGAGTATGCGTTCAATGCAAGCTTCGACACTGAATAATCCGTCCATATATCTGGCCATCCTTGTCTTTCCCATCTTCCATCTTTCACATCTTGCAAAAACACACCCACCACCATATCTATTCGATCTTCACTTAGTCTCTTTTCGTCTCCTAGTATTGCCTTCATTTTTGTGTTCTTCAGCTTCTGCATTTAATAAATAAATCGATTAAAATATAATCTAAGGGTTAATGTCGATTGAATAGATGATATATTCTTTTAATAATGTAGTAAATGCGTTAGAGTCTCATATCAGCCATATCCTGGTCACTTTTCTTAAATATATGTTGGAACAGTTCTTTTTTCCTTAAGAATTTATTTGTAGGGTAATTTACAAGTTCCACGTATTATCACAATCTCATATGGTATCAAACGCTACAAGAAAATTGGCTTTATAATACGGCACAAAAAAATGTGTAACCAATATAGTAGATTGTTCTATATGACTTAAGTTTAATACACACACACACACACACATATATATATATATAGGTTAAATCAAATGAGAACCACAAAAAGGTTACAAATGTCTTGAGAACTGATTTAAAAATAAATGTTTACATGATTTTTTTTCCATCAAACGCTAGAATTTAAGATATTGTTTCACATATATTATGATAAATCATAGCTTTTGATAAAAAAAAATGTAAAATATATTTTTATATCGATTCTTACAGGTTTGTAACGTTTTTGTAGTTCTCATTTTGTTACCGTCACACACACACACACACACACACACACATATATATATATATATATATATCCTACGTCAAAGAGTTAATTTTATAGAACGTTTATGGACGTTTTAACAAGCTTTTATGCCACCTTTAAAATAAAACATTCTATTATTTGTTTTGTGTCCTTTAAACTTGATTTTGCTATATGATAAGCAAAATCTACCATTTTAGAGACTCAAACACGGTGGCATATGCACGTCTAACCTTCATGGGAAAGATGGGAAGTGAAGTCTCACATCAACTTAGACTTGGAGCATTTTCATTCGATGTATGTTGGGTCCTCTTCTAGTATGGTTTCATATATTCAAAAGGTTTATATATAGTTATATATATGTATATATACATATATATATATATATAGTTGTATATATACATACATCTAATGTGCCAAGTCTTGAAGAGATGTTGAGAATGCGAGTGATGAAAGGAGAATTGGAGGGACGGCAGAGAGGGAGGATGGCCTCTGTCAAGAGTTTGGATCCATAGTAGTTGGTCTTCACCACTGTTTCTGCATGTTCCATCGAGTTTTCCTTCATGGCGTTGAAACACACAGCTGCATTGTTCACCTGTCACATTATATATATATATATATATATATATATATATATTGTTGGCACTAGTTAGCTATGTATTGATTAATTATATATGATATTTAATATATAATTTATATGTATATTGATATTGGATTTATCAAAGATGATCAAAATCATCCAACAACATGACATGCATGCAGTATATATATATATATATATATATATCATATTATTGATTCGTCTCATATGGTGTATCTGCGTTTGTCATTCGAGAACTGCAGACATGCTATGTAATACGTATATATTTATGTCAGGTGATGATAATATACATATATATATATATATATAGCATGTCTGCAGTTCTCGAATGACAAACGCAGATACACCATATGAGACGAATCAATAATATGATATATATATATATATATATATATATATAGAGAGAGAGAGAGAGAGAGAGAGATGGTTGGTTATTATACAACTCTTGACATTTGTGCAACCAATACAACCTAATCTCAACCGTCCATTTCATTTGATTAATATGTGATTTAATAGAAGTTTTTATTGTTTCATAATATAAAGTATCCATCATAATTAATGAATCATATTCATCTTCCATAAATATTCAAATCACAATAAATGAACTCTCATCATTTCCATAAATATCTCAATATATTGGATTGCATTGGTTGTACAAATGCGACTGATTGTATTTAAACCAAACTCTATATATCTATATAGGGGCTGGTTCAAATGCTAACTAAGATTATCGTGTTAACTTTGTTAACCGATCTTGGCCATTAAGTTGAATAATAAACGATTGTGATTTAATGATATTTAAAAATTAATTATTAAATTGATATTTTCAATTAACATATGTGAACAAAATATCAAAGGGTATTTAGGTAAAAATTAATATTTTGATACACGAGTTGTCAGACATATGAACAACTTGTCTATATCCTCAAAACACATCAAACAAAAACGATTAGATATATGAACAACATGTGAACCGTATGAACATATTCTGTAAATTCAGGAGTCAACTATGTTGTATGTACATGAACACCTACGAAACTTGTGTTCACATGAATCACAGATACTGTTCATATTCATGTGATGTGATTGTGCATATGTATCGATATGAACATTTATTGCCTTTGATATGTGTTCATGATCAATTAGTGAGATGTTTAAAATTTGTAACTCCCAATTAATTATTAGGGAGTTACATAAATATCAAATTAACTAATTACCCTTGTATTTAATATATGACTTATATTTAAACATAAATAAAAGATGGAATATGATTGATTAAGTTTGGTTAGTATAGTTAACACAAATTTATTGGTTAGTATTTGAACCAAGCTATATATATATATATATATATATATATATATATATAGTTTGTTTCAAATACAACCTGTTGCATTTGTACAACCAATGCAACCCAATAAATTGAAATATTTATGGAAATGATGAGAGTTTATTTATTATGATTTGAATATTTATGGAAGATGAATATGGTTCATTAATTATGATCAATACTTTATATTAGGAAACAATCAAAACTTCTATGAAATCACATATTAATCAAATAAAATGGACAATTGAGATTGTGTTGTATTTGTTGTACAAATGTCATGAATTATATAATAAATATATATATGTGACAAATCAAAAGCAAATCATGCAAATGTTGCATATCTTAATTATAAACCAATCTTAACCATCCATGCAAATTATCAAATCAAAGTCAAAGATGTAGATTAAATCGGTTCCGAAATTTCCTCTAAACCTTATTTGCAACTAATTTGATAACCGCCTAAAATTTCAAAATGCATAAAATCAAGTGCCGAGATTGGTATGTAAGGTGTGCAACATTCATATGCGTGTGTGTGTAGAGGTTCAAACGAGAACATCTATAGGCCTTCAAATTATTTAACCCATAATTAAAATTAAAAGAAAATAGACTAATTAATTATGAATTTGTATTTATCTATAATTTTGGTGACATCCTTATATCTAAAATCAATACATATAACATGTTAACCAACATCAAATAATTATCAAATGATTATCACAACAAAATCACATAATGAACCGACAGAGCTATGAATATAGACGTTATCATCATTCGTTTTCAATTATCACAACATTATCACATTGCTATCACAACAAAAAAATCACATAATTATGAGATGATTATTACATTATAAAAAATCTTCAACTTATCAAATAATTATCACATTATTATCATGGCAAAATCAGATAATTATCACAATATTATCAATTCATTATCGACAACGGACACATCGACATAAAAAGTCTCTGATGATAATAACAAAATTTAAAAGATAAAGATAAATCTAGGATAACATAAAAATATGGATAAATACTAATTAAATTTCATTTATTCTAATTTTTATTGTATGTTAACTAATTTGGAGGCCCAAAAATATTCTCGTATTTTCGTAAAATAAAAGTGTTCCCGTTTGAAACCCTTTCATATATGTGTGTGTGTGACTAATCAATATTGAATACTGTGATAACCATTTTTATTTGTTGTTTCACATTTTGAAACAATGAATGTGCAAATTAATATAGTATTGCTTTATATTGTAAATATTTTTAAAATCTACTATTAGTATTTTTTTTGTTTCATATTATGAAACAACATTTATATCCACATATATTAACAAGAAATAATCAGTAGTTCATATGGTTTTTTCCTTTTCATTTAGTTATGTCTCTATATATCTATATTGATGTGTATAAACATCATTGTATATTTTCAATTTGTATTATTAATAATTTGGAAGGTATATTAAAACAAGAAAGTTTGTCTCAAACTTAAAATACACCTCAGATAAGCGATGGCGACCACACTTACCATGGTTAGTGCTTACCGGGATAGATTATTGCATACGATTCGTTTTAGTGAATAAAATCTTACTCGGTAAGTAAACGATAGTACTGAATTTTACAGGTAAATGCTTATTAGATAAGCGTTTAGGTAAACGGCCCCTAAATAATTTCTAAAAACTTTTAGAAAAGCTTTTCACTGTAACCTAGAAATTCTTTTCAAAACCATAAGAGTGGTGTCTGATTGGTTTGAGATTGAGCTCCAAATATCAAAAGTGCCTGAAGGTCTCAGGTTTAAATCCAAGAAGAAATAAAAATCCTCTTGTAGCCACCAAGGTTCAAATGCAGTGACTCCGGGTTACCCGCAAAACATGTGGTCGTCCTGAGATTAGTCGATTCGGATAACGGGTTTAATGCCCAGATTAATTATAAAAATTCTTGTTCAAATGAGGTTATTGTATTAAAATAAGTGTTTATATTCTTATTGTAAGTTGTACTAGAATAAACGTTCAATTTCAAAAGTAAGTATTTAT